GCTCCGGGGCTGGAAAAGCGGGCTCGTGTCTGTATCCTCTTGGAACACATCCCCCTCGGGCCTCGTCAGTCTGGATTTACATCGCTGAAAACATACCCATGCTGATAGCCTGCTCTCGTGGTCCTGTAAAGCAGGAAGAAAACGTAGCAGTGCTGGCGCATAAGTTCCGCGAAAGCAAAGATTTGGGTTGGTGTAAATTGCTGTAGCTGTGTTGGCTTTTACAAAGGCCAGTCTGATTTATATCGGTTGAAGATTAGCCATTATGAAAGGTTTTTCCTGCCTGATCCATTCTTTTAACCTCTACTGGCTTTAGTCAGAAGGTAGTAAGGCCTTCAAGCCTTAGCCTATCAACTGTAGTTGGATTTCTTCATGTACAGTAGAGAAAGAATACTCATTTATAAATGTGTCTCTTTTTTTAAAAAAAAAAAAAAACAAACCCAAACCACCAAACCCCAGCACCTTCCATGGAAATGTATGGTCAGAAATCAGGTGCTTTGGGTCAGGTTTATAACAGATACAAACTGACCTCACCTGAGGTTCTGTCATGTTGATTTATTTCTCTGAGAAATAGTCCTTTAGTATAGTAGCTAATCTCACATGGGTTTATCAGGAAAGATCTGGCTTCCTGGATGGAAATCATTCAATCTACTTGTTGCTGAATACTGCCTGAAAGTGTTGGCTAATTCTACTCAACTTGGCTATTAAATTACCAGTGACAGGCTTGCTATGTGCTTTAAGGCATAAGAAAATCTTCCATTTTATTCCTGATAATGGAGAGGTATGATGAATTTGCTTCTCCCCTTTAATAAATGCATTTTTTGTTTATTCTTAAAATACAAAATGCTAAACTCTCTTTTCAGATCTGTCCTGGAAAATCTTGTTCAGTAGTGGATCCATGCAATTTGTTTGTTTTTTGTGCTCACCTCTCAAATTACCAAACATGTTCCTGCAAATTCTGTCAAAGACAGACGTCAACCAAGGATATGTTCAAAGTACTGGGCAGTATTTTAACCACCCATGTTCCTGTACTTGTCACAGATCACTTGCAGGCTAAACACCAGCCTGGTCTTTAGAAACGGTTGCTGCTAATAGTACCATTTCTTTTGGTGACGAAACCATAATGTGGAGGGAACTTTTTCCAGAACCAGGTTCTCATTAAGAACTGAGTCTGCAAAGTGCTGAGTGTCCTCAGTTGGAGTAGGAGGTGAGACTGCTCAACAGTTCCCAGGTGGTGCTAGCATTTTTGAGACTGGGACAAAATGCATTGATACTTTCCTTCCAGAGTATCAAAAATATCCGGATGTATACTCTGCCTGACTTTCTGTTATGCCAAAGTACTGCTCATAAAGATTATAGTTGTAACTAGCTCTTATGACTGTCATTCAAGGCCTTCTATGTTGAGGGGTATTTGAAATGGCTGTAAAGAATATTCTGAATTAAAATTCAGTATATGACTTTTCTGCCAGAAGCTGCTAAATGTTTTATTAGAGTTTGAGCAAATCTATTTGTGTCTTTCCCGCTTTTGTTTAGAGAGGATAAAATTAATGATTTTGTTTTGCCTTGTCTACTCTGCTTTTTATTATCCTATGTATGTTTCTCTGCTTATGCTGAATCTATGCTTAATACATCTGAGGCCAGATTCACTTCTGTTACAGGCAACTATAATTTTCATTGTGCGTGATTTTAGTCTTACATCTTCATTAGTCTGGAGTGTCTTCTGCAGTGCTGAGATCCAAATCTGGCCATTGGATTTAATAGATTATTGTAAAGTATCCTTGCAAAAGGTGCAGTTCATGTAGCAGCACTCTTGTAGAGCCATTGAATACCAAGTCACTGCAGTCATGGGTTTTATTGCTTTACCACCCTGACAACTATTTTGTGACTTGCTTTTATCTGGTACTTGGTTAAATTATACTCCCTTGTGGTCAGTATTAAAGCAGATTGCTCTGTTTTAACTTTTTTTTTTTAAAGTTATAGGGGGCTTTATGTAGTACACTTGCAGCTTTTTTTGGTAACGTGTATAATCTTGTATGTTTTCTCAAGGTTGGGGAAAGTTTGCTCGCTTGACCCGGGCCCTCACAAGCAGCCGAGGTGTGCTGCAGCAGCTTGCTCCAAGCGTGCAGAAAGGAGAGAATGTTCACAAGCATTCGCGACTTGCTGAGGTAACGTTTTCTTTCCCTGAAAAACCATAAAGAAATGTTTTTAGCCTTTGTGGGTATGTTGTCTCTGCATGAGACAAGCACTGTCTGTCCCCCTTGTCCTGGGAATCTGAAGCCTGGTGGCAGGCATGGGAGCTCAGAATATGGCACGCGTGCTGTGAAATGTGTCCTGCAAGAGTGGAATGGAAAGTGGTGTCCAGAAGACTTCATGTAACCTGACTGGTGTTGTGTTCCATATCTCAGCAAAGTCTTATAATGGCATTATTATTAAAGTAAAACTTTCTTGCTTAGTTTCCATTCTTCTGAGCACCTCAATGTTAGTAGGATCTTGGACTATTCACTTGTGTAAAATTGAGGTGAGAAAAACTCAGGTTAGTACAGAAGGAAATTCTGGAGAATCCTTGACACAGTTGTTCTCTGCATTCATTTATGTCTAGTTCTTTTTCAGTGGGATCCCAATCCTGCTTTACAAACTGGTTAAAACATATGTTTGAGTTACTGGTTTTGTGGACAGAACAGCTGTAAGATGCCACAAGCGACACTGCAGACAGATTAGGAAAATGAAACCTTGTGATTTAAGTACACTCTCAAAGTTTTGTGAAAAGATCCAGGCAGAGAAGGGTCCTTGAAGTACTTAGGGTTTTAGGGCTTACGCCATGAAGTGGGGAGAGACTGTCCCAAGTTTCTTGTAGCTGTCTTCTGGGCCAGCAGCAGGGCCTTCCTGGTGTAAAAACAGCTTAGGGCACATCTTGATATGGCGTTAATGACAGTATGGCCAATATAACATGGCACTTCTGTATCACCTATTGCTGTGAATGCTGTGGCAGAAGCTGTGACTCTTGTCAGTAATTCTTAATCTTCCTGTGTAGCTGGAAGTGTAAGCCACTGATGGGCTCCATGGGGTCTCCATATAGTCAGTACTCTGTTAATTTTGCCCTGTATATGTCTTAGTTTCTATGCAAAATAAACAACTCCTGCCCAGGCCTGTACTGTTATCACATGTGATGATGAAAGTCCCAGGGACAGGAGCTTGCCTATTCAGTATTTAATACAGATACAGTCCAGAATGGAAAGCTGACTTCTTTTGGAAGTACAGAAATAACATAGATCATACTAGCACAGGGGAGGGGCAGATATTCACATGGAGATTATACTGTAGCAATACCATGTGATTATCACATGTCCACCCTGAGGTGTCTTTAGTGTCCTGGAATTTGGAATAGTCTCCTTCCTAATCCTACTCAAAGCTTAGCATCAAATAGTCCTTCCTTCTCTTTAGAGGTCTACCCTTGAATTCGTGCTGAAATGTGGGCAGTAGAATGTAAGGCAAAGGGTCTGAGGTTATTCTCTTTGGCTCAGTGAACCTCAGTCTGCACCTAAGTGACTACACATTACTGAAACTTCTTGCAAGCCGATGTGCTCAACAAGTCTTTGCAAGTATTCTAACTGGCACAGCCAGTTGATTCATTACAAGTAATAAAAGGCAAGTGTATAGTTTACATGTCTGAAATTAGTTTCTTTAATTGCCAACTGAATATTGCAGTCATTATTTTAAAAAGAAATTAGCCCCAACTGTGATGTTAGGTACCTTTTTGTGTATCTGCTGTAATTCCACTTAAGTCAATAGGACTACACTAGAGAAAAGCAGAGTGCAGATAATCATACAGGCAAGCCCACTGTTCTTCCTTTGTAGACATATGGGGTGCGGGGCTTATTCTGGAAAGATCTCTTGGTAATATTGAACAGGGGGTCTCTAACTGTTCCCTGTTGTATTTTCAAATCTTTTTTTTTTTCCTTCATCTCTGCAGTAGCCTATTTGAAATCTTAAGTTCAAATTAAAATTCTTCTTTTTATTTTCCTACTCACTGTGGCATTTCACATAAATTTGGTTGCTCGAGAAGGCTCTTCATTTATTAGAATATTATTTGTGTTGCTCTTGGTTCTTTATCACATTTTTTAATATCTGAGGAGCCAGTTGTGTCCTAGAACCTGAGTGGGGCAAGGTGTTGTACAAACACAAAATAGGAGCCTGCCACAAAAGCTTACAATTTCTTTTATCACTTATGAAATATTAGCTTAAGAAAGGTGTTAGTGGCAAACTTTTAACCATAGGCTATGGATAATATGAGCAGTGTCTATTAAGCCTCAGTCTCTGACTTTTGGCAGTATGTGTTGATTTGTTTAGCCTGACTTTTCTAATAGCAGTCATACAAAAACTGCTTAAATTAATTATGCAATTAATGCAAGGGTGTTAGGTAACTCTGAAAGTACATTTTGCAATAAGACTATAAAGTAATCAATACATTTCTGTGGCTTTATCACCAAGGAGCTGGCTGTAGGAACCATTCTTCCTGGTCACTGCATAGTATACGTCCTCTGCACCTACGGTGTTAGCTGATGTATTCTGCATATTTACCAGGCAGATCTGGGTAAACAAGATTGTGTCATAATTTAAAAAATGCAATAGTTATGAGAAATAAAAGCAGAAAAATTATAATGGTGCTTAGCAGCACTGCTTAATAACAGAACTTCTGCCATTTCTTTTTTAAACCTTGTTTACCGGGGACTTATAACTGCCATTAAAATTTGCTTCAACTTGTGGCTTAGCACCTAGCCCTTGGCTTGGGAGCAACTCGTGTGGGTGCCTGTGAAAACAAAAGCAAGGGAGAGTGAGAGAAAGCAAATATGTGTGGTTGAAAACACAAACGGGAGAGATTAAGCTGAAAATGAATGATTATTTCTGTGGGTTTTTTTTCCCCCAGTCATGCAGTCTTAAAAATAAATAAATCATTGTAACTACTTGTTGATGCACTTTTATGAGTCCTGACTGGTGATATATTCACCATTTTTTAACAAATCTGGGATTTTTTTTTTTATTTTGTTATGTTAAAAAAATGAACACAGCCTTGTGAAACCCATGATGAAATTTGTTGTTTCAGCTCTTAAAATAATATTCTCTGGCTTTAGAGAGTTATTAAAACATCATGCATCATTACCACAAATAATAAACGCAGATAATACAACTGTAGTGGCTGGTGAATCATACGTAATTGGAATAATACTTTCATTAATAACTTTCTGAATAAAATATTTCTTTTACTATGGTATAACTGCATAATAGAGAAAAGTCTTCCAAAACCAGGGCTGTTTCAGTTATTTAGGAAATTATAGTAATGAAATATTTGTTCAATGCACATGGGTGGAAGGAAGCTCAGCATATCGGTTTATATAGTTGTGTACATTTTCTTCATGATTACTTTCATATTCATCTCCTGGGTTTTTTTTTTTTTCCTCTCCAGGAAAAGTACCTTTACAAGCAGTTTAAATCTAGTTAGTTCATGTAGGTGGGTAACCACTCCTGACTGCTTCAGCAAATACTGTGTTTCAGGTTGGCACTACTCTCCCTAGAGGCTGGAGTGCAGCAAGAGCACCTTGGGATAGGGCAGAAGGTACTTCTCTTTGCATCTACCTGGCTTTGCTATATGGTGCAGAGAAAGTGGTGTTTATAGCTTTTAATTTCTAATGACCCAGGGGTAGACTCTGAGTGGCCCTTGGTGTGAAAAGTGCAGAGAAGAGCTCTCCTAACTTCCAGTGCAGCAACCTGACAAAACCTAGAGCTTTAGCACTAAGCTCTGTGGACTTCCTTTCATTATCTCTGTACAGCACTGAGCTCTCTTGTTGTACGTAATGCTAAAAGCACATGCTTGTTCTCTGAGATAATTAAGCTTCGTTATAGGTATTTTTCTCTTCCTTCAATGAAAATTAAAATTTGGTGCCTTTGAAAGCTCTTGGCTGTCAGTCCTGGAGGCTGCAAGACCTTTGCCAATCTGTAAAGCAAGCTGCCTTTCCCCAGAGAGGTAGCATGAGCTGGGACAGTGCCCTTCTTCCATCTCAAGCTGTGAAATGACAGTTCATCTCTCTAGCAATGCCAGCAAGATACAGTGGTTTTACAAGGTGCACGTTAGTGACGCGGTGAGAGGGAGGCAGGGCTAGAAGTTGTCACCCCCACCCCACCCAAACAAAAGACTGGAGACACCCCAGGCTTGCTGCAGGTGGCTTTCCCCACCTTGCGAGTGATTGATATCCCTACGTCACTCCTTGATGCCCATCTCCTGCCCTGTCCCTGCCCCTCTTTTCGAGATTCACACCCACACTGCTGGCACACATCCTTCCACTGGAGACCAGCTAAAGCCATGGTCCCTGGTCACTCTTAATAGCCATTGGTAGAGCTTAACCAAAGACTCCAAGGTGGTAGTGGATGTTCAAAAGACTTATTAATTACGTCCCTAGCCATTCAGATAGTTTAGAGTACGTTTACTTTCTAAATAAAAAGGGAAGGAGACATCAATCCTTTTATTTTCCTGTGCTGTAGCCCTTTGAATCTCAAACAAGCTAGGGGAGAGTGCTTTGTGCTTGGTGATGACATTTTAAAACACTGAAGCAGCAAAGTTGTTTATTTTCTTAATGAGTTGAAACTAGAAGTCTGTTTTTCTCTGCATTCAGTTCAGTTTTATATCCCTGCAGTTCCATGGGATTTACTGTAATTTTTTTTGATTTACAGCAAAATAACGGACACCAGAATTCAGCCCCTTCTTTAGTGCCAAACAGAGATTGTTCTTGCCTTTATTCCTATTATTCAGGTATATGGGAATACATTCATACATTTTCCAGTAACTTTAGTTTGGATGATGCAAAATTTCTGCAAGTTCAGTGGTGGCCAAAATGGAGTGCATTATACAATTTTCAACCTAGAACTTATGTGTGTATATGTAAGAATCAATCTGACAAGAACTAACAAAACTATTTTTTCAGTGTTTCATGGTTGAGGTTTCTGTGCTGATTAGAATGATTGCCAAAATGTTTTACATTTTTGTATAGTATCAGAGGCTAAAAAAATAAGCTCTAGGAGATGTGATTGCAAAAGAAGCAATTACGTTTTCAGCCTGCATTTAAGGGGTGATACAATCTCCCCATGCTAGTAACATCTCAGCATTAGAACTGAAATTCAGGTAACTGACTGAAAAAAGTTACTACGTGATAGAAGGTGCTTGGTTTTGCTGATCAGTTATTCCAGTGAGTGAATATTGCAGAGGACTCTCCTTGCCCAGTGAAGCATATTTCAGGGTTCGGATGTTATATTAGGGCTGCTACTCATGCAAATCCTCATAAAAGCCAGTAGTAGCTCAGTGCTTTCCAACTGATTCAGATACAGGTGTGATATTCAAAAAGGAGGGCAGGAGGTATTTGCAATATTGATCTTGGGCTAGAACTTTTGTTGAGAAAAGACATCCTAACATTTGTCGTTGAGACTGCAAACAAGCCCTGAAGGGAATGATGCTCTGAGTACACACACTAACTCAGTACGCAACCTGTGCCTCTTCCAGTCACTACTTGTGATTTCTGGGGACTGCATTGGCTGGCTAGTGCCTCCTGCAGAGAAGAGACTGCTTCTGTCTTGTGTTGCTTCCAGCTCCTCTCACCACAAGACAACTTTTTATTTTTAATATTTTTTTCTTTTTTTTTTTTTGGTAGTGTGGAGAACCTGCATGAATTGGGATCAGGAGTGGCAGAGTACTTAATACTGCAGTGGATGTGTCTGAGTCCTAGTTTGGTCTGCAAGGGTTCTACTTAGGGGAAAATGTTCCTTTTTCCTCTTTGCTGTCATTCTAGAAACTCAGTGAAACAAAAAATCCCAAGTCCTCTTATTTTTTTCAAACTGTTGATGCCTCTGTGCTAACATGCGGGTCTCTGAGCAGGTCATGCTGCTTCTCTTCTGGAGGACATATTGGGCTCAAAGTCAGCAGGCTTGCAGCTCCCATTGTCATTTACACATGTGCAAGGGACTGTGATATGACAGTGTCTGACACCTGTTGTGCACAAGAGTAAGTGATTATGTGAGGTTCAAAGCAGCAAGGAACTTGATCTGAGGCTGTTTTGTCCAAGTAGAACTCTTGTAGCTGATTGTTCTGTTTTGTCTCCTTTGGCTTAATCTGTTGGAAAAAAGCCCACCAGTTCACAGAAAAAGAACAGTAAAAAGCACTCAGAAAAGCCTGCAGATAAAAATCCATGTCCAAATAATTGACGTTTAAAAAGCTGAGATAAGGAGCATGAAAGGAAGACATCCTCCTATTATAGCTATGTTGTCTGATCTTTTCCCTGAGAAGGTGTCCGTTTAATTTCCTTCCCTGCTCCCTGTTGCTCTGAACTATGATATAAATAAATGTGAAAAAGGAACCATGCTCCTAAACAGTTCTCACAGGTTCTATGAGTTTAGCATTAGCAAACACATCTCACTTGAGCAAACCTCCATCTTCCTTTCAGTTTTCACCCATAACTCATCCAGGGTAAATTTCATTTTAAAATTTAACTTGTCTTTATTTGGAGACAGGTCCTTCATGTTTGTTTTACCCTCATGTATATCCATAGATGTAAACCAACACATTCTTGTTCACAGGTATGTAGAAGAAACTTTAGTTCTCAAGATTCAAAGACATAATCATACTCTTTTTGCACTAGTGTGCAGAACCAGAAAAATAGACTTAAAATGGGCAGCACTGATGGAGATTGCAGTTATGCAAAACACTTGGAGCATGTGCTCAGCTTGAGGCCCAGGGTTTAAAACACAAGCTGACAGATTATCTTTTGCTGCAGTGCTTTTTTGAATTCAGACCTGACTGCATTGTAACTTGACTGTACACCATCAGATCTTCTCTCAGTGAAAAGTTAAAGATCCAAATGAGTTTATTGAGGCTATTGATAGTTATCCATGGGCTTTGGTCCTGCACAGGGCAGAGAAGAGGAACAAAGGTGCATGCATTCATAATAGATTGTAGTATAAGACTATTTCAGATACAGTATAGTGAAGAGTTAAATAGACAATATTGAGAAGCTATGTGGTCCAGTGGTCCCGGTGCTGGACTGGAACTGAGAAGTTGCGGTATTGTTCCTGGTTTTGCCATTGATTTCTATTTGCAACTGCCTTCCCACCCATCATTTATCTGTCTCATCTATTTAGACTGCTGAAGGAGCTTCTCTTCTCTATATGTCTTGGATACCCAGCACATTAGGCTTAGTGTCAAAAAATAATTAATGGCATCAAAAGAAGCAACAACTATTCTTAGGTTGATGCTGATTTGTTTAACAGGATACTTATCCTGACTTGCTTACCATTTGGTGGTGATAAAAGGAGTTAACGGACATGCATTTTTGTCAACTGCTGTACTGAGCTTGAGAATCTACAATGTGAAAAATAATGTTAAAAAATTAAGCATGTTTTCTTTTTCTCCTGAAATCTCTGTGACTACAGGTACTGCAGCTGGGCTCTGAAATCCTCCCACAGTACAAACAAGAGGCACCAAAGACTCCGCCACACATAATTTTGCATTATTGTGTTTTCAAGACTACGTGGGACTGGATCATCTTGATTTTAACCTTCTACACTGCTATTTTGGTCCCTTACAATGTCTCCTTTAAAACCAAACAGAACAATGTGGCGTGGCTAGTAGTCGACAGCATTGTAGATGTCATTTTTTTGGTAGACATTGTGCTTAATTTCCATACCACCTTTGTGGGGCCAGCAGGAGAGGTGATCTCTGACCCAAAGCTGATTCGCATGAATTACTTGAAGACCTGGTTTGTGATTGATCTGCTCTCATGCTTGCCATATGATGTCATCAATGCATTTGAGAATGTTGATGAGGTCAGTATACTAGTTCTACTTCCATCCATTAATTATTACTTAATGTTTGGGGGGAGGGGGAGGGAGAGAAGAAAGAAATGTATGCTTTTTAGTATATTGAATTAGTGTACATATGTCTCTAGTAGTTGCCCTCAGCCCATGTAGAAGTTTGCTCATGCATCCTAGCCAGAAGGGTCCATATTTAACTGCACTGGGAGAGGCTGAGGTCTTGGTGTCAGAAATCCATGTTTATTTTCCTTCATTCTGCATCCTCGGAGGAGGATGTTCGGGAGGACAGGCAGAAGCAGACAGCGGAACCTCTGCACAACACTGAGGAAAACTGCTTATCTGACTTACTATGAGTATCTTGCACTGGTGTGTCAAGATAGTTTCTTGGGGCAGGGTTCTTTTGCTTTCACTGTTGACTCAACAGGATATGTCTGCTAATGGCAATTCTTCACACGAACAATTGGAAAGTGTAATACACTTTTCTCAGCTGCTTCTAATACAATGTAGCAGGTGCCAGAGGCAGGCAGTGAATCGCTAAATCTTCTTAGACCCCCAGAAAGTACTGTGTTGGGTATCTGGTGATTCATGCAGCATTGTTTGGCAACAGTTGCTTTAGAGGAAGGTGAAGCAACTGAAGATGCTGTTTTGATGCTTGCTTGGTAATTCCATAATTAGAAGAAAGGATAGGGAGAAATCTGGAAATCTAGACTCCTCCTTAATTCTTGCTCATTTCTTCGGGAACAGGCCACAAGCCAGCAAAGGAACTAACATTCAGACACTTAAAACCACAATACTACCCTGTTTCAACTGCTTGTTCTCCTACTGGATCAGGCTGCCAAGGAAATATTCCTAAACTAAATATATTAAGGTTCCATGCCTAAATAGTTCAGGGAGTTAATGAATTGTTAATAAAATCTTAAAGAGGATTCCAGCAGTCCACTTTTTAATTACATGTTATAAAATCTGTACCGTCAACTAATTATGTGTCTGTATTTATTTGTGACACATACTAAACCTGTAACATACATACACATCTCATCAGTGCTTAGTATTTAATTTTCAGTCTGTAAAATTAAATTTTTATGAGTTCCTTTAAAATATGCCCATGTTATAAAGGACAACCTAGCTATTAAAAGAAAATTATGCTGAGTGAAATATCTGGATAAAAACATAAAACTGCATTACTTTTGTAAAAATACACTATGCTGTTTTTTATCAAATTTAAACTATTTTGCTCAATGACTTGAGGACAAGTAGGCAAACTATTGGATGCAGTGGAAAAAACATAATGTTATTTGATATTTAATTCCCTAGAGAGGTTTTCATTTTATATAAAGCTGCAGACTGAAATAACACAAATGAGATCAAGCAAAAAAGCCTTGTGAGACCTGTCCTTAAATATTTGTTTGTCATAAAAAGGACCCAGGCTGCAGATTACTGTGCAGGGTTTTCACATATTACTTTGTTGTGGCACTGATAAAGCAATGGAAGGAGTGGCTATATGTCAGTTTCTGACATTTAGCCTGAAAGATTTAAAAAAAAAAAAAAAAAAAAAAGGGAAGGAAGCTTTTCACACCTCCTGCAGATAGTAGCAACCTGCTGATGATTTTGCTGGAGGAACATTTCGTAACTGTAGACTGGTGAAGTGACCTACAGAACATCCCTGAGGAAAATGTATATACCAGTGGCTGTGACAACCCTTGAGCTGAGCACAGGCACTCTCAGACTCATGGTAGCAATTTTGCAGAGAAATTCTTGTTGTGTGAGTTTGAATTTCTCCAGGTTCTCCATCTCAGTGTTGCCTTGTAACAATGAGGAGCTGATTGGTACTTAAGTTTTCCTATGGTTCTTCAACAGTCTCCTTAATCAGTGTAACAGTGTTCGTTTTAGTTATTCTAGCTATCGTGCCCAAGGAAAAGAACATTTTTCTTGATGCTATCCTTTCAAGACTGTTCGTCTCTATTTTCCTTAGTGGATTCTGGCATTTAGCTGGTATAAATCATTGTAGGGTCATTAGAGCAGGGTTTCCACTGGTGTAAATTGCTGTACTTCTATTAAGGGCTCATAGACTGGTTTACAGGACCTGAGGGGCTTTGCCAGCAATGCCAGCAGAATAACATAGTGCACATCAGGTGGGGATTTAGGACAGTATATGCTGATCACTGTTTCATGAACTGCCTGTAGAGAGAAAGATAACCTATTATTAAAGGAGGAAAAAAAACCAAAGCCACATTCAAGGTGTCTTGAAATTAGAAAGGCTTTGCCTTTATACCTTCTTCTCTGTTGTGTAGAGCATACCCTTGTGGTCAACTCCCTTTCTTTCAAACTTGCTGGTTTAAATTTTCCCTGTCTCTCACCCTGGATTATACACCATATTACTTCACAGTTGGATTAAGTCAGCTGTGAGGCTGTGCTGCTCAAGTTATAAGTAGCCGAACTGGATTGTTATCTGTGTGTCACTTTGATTTTGCTAAAGGGAATTCCCTTGGAGCCATGTGACTGGAGTTAGTAGGTGGCCATGGCTGCTGCAGGGATTTTTTTCTTTTTTTTTTTAGTCCTAACGTGAATACTCTTAAAAAAATTGCCAGACATTAAATGATACCCAGTGTCAAGAGTGGTGATAAAATGAGATGAAGAATATGAATTGCTATTTTCCTGTTTTGATGTTTTCTATATATGATTTTAAACAGAAGGAAATAGAATCCTGGCTTTGTTGCAGTCCCTATAGCAAAGGAGGACTGGGGCAGATAGAAGCTCACTGTTTTTTCTGCCTGCTGTCATTCTCTGTTAAAAGAAACATCACTGAAGTCACCGAGGACGTCATGGAGGAACTAACTTGACAAGTCAATTTGTTTTTAAGAATGCTGTAACTACTGTGATGGAGACGAATTGATTTGCAAGGGACATAGGACCTGGAGCTGAAGAAATAAAAAGCTGTGTATATAGGGTGTTGAGGCTCTTTTGGCTCTGGGTAATTTTGGGACTGTCCCATTACTTAGCTCTTGATAGATTAATAGTGAAATCATTTTTGTCAACTTTAAAGTGATCCACTAATATAAGACTAATTATAAAATGAAACTAGAGTTGATCAATATTTTTGACAAGCAGATACTCGTTTTAAAAAATTCTGATATTGAATTTTTCTTCTATTTTGAAGTAACTTTTTGTTTTGCAATTTACTTCATTATTCCATTATAAGATATAATGGAAAATATTTTCTTGAAACAAAATTGAGTGTGACTTCTGTGTTTTTCAGGCAATTTAAAAATTCTTTGGGTTTGTTGCAGTTTGGAACATTAGTATATTTTCAATTCACATTTTTTAATATAATTGAAATTCCAGTTTCCTCTCTGTTGAGAATATTTTTGCCCACAAAAATACTGTGCATTAATTAACTATTAATCAATACAACTATTAATAACTACAATTAATACAAGAGGCACTTCAGTATGAATAGCCACATTCTACAGATGGAAGAGGAAAGAAAAAACATTAATGTCTTTGTTTAAGGCCATAGAATTAAATATAAGAATGTATGAAGCTTCTGATCTCAAGTGCTGTGCTCAAAGAGACAGTACAGTATCTCATATTCAGACATGAACAGAATTCAACAAATGAAGGAACAAATAGCTGTAGAGAAATTTCTATTGTTACCCAAATGAAAGAAAAGTTATAAATGTTTCTCCTGGCTTTTCTATATGGGAAGCTAATTTTACAGTTAAATATGAATTACTTTCGTGACCTGCCAGAGAACTTCAAGAAAAGAAAATATTCTGCTGATTGGTGAATCAACTTAATGCTAGGCTTGGACTTTCTGCTGTTAAGACAATACATCGTGCTGTAGTATCGTTTGAGTAAGAAAAGAAAATATTGCTCTAAAATTTACACAGCCCTTAAAACATGTGGTATTAGTCTCTTCTGAATTTGAATGATCACAATAACATTTGTCAGTAATCCCTTAAAGTAATTAGTATTACTCCTCACTTAAGAAAATACCACCTACTTTGGGGATTAATGTTATCTTTTTGTGTTCAGACATCAATCAGTAGATGTAATAAAAAACAGGCTTAAAGGAAATTCCACACATTTTGCCAAGAACAATGCAATTTAAGACTTTGAATTCCAAAGGCAAGTTGAAGCATATTTTTGCAGTGTCAGCTTGAGCAATTTTATACTGTGGTTTTCAGCATTAATACCATAAGATATAATTTATATTGGAAAAAATCTGACTTATTACATGTGACACTGTTGTTGTGAAATCTCATGGTAGGAGTGGAATACAGTCATGTCACCACCATATAAATCTCTGAAATAGGGAGTTTGTAGTAGTAATTGCTATCTGTATTTGAACGGAACACTATGATCAATTGTTGGCTGATGCCAAATTGAGAACCATATATCACTCTTATTAGCTGAGGTAGAAGAGAAATAAATGCATAGTAAAAGATCATCAGGGACGATGTATTCAACATAAATGATCTACCGTTCACTTAAGTGGGTGAATAAGAGAGAGGCTGGCATGTAGGCAAAGAAGATATACAGTTTTGAAAGGACAAAATTTATGATGATAAAAAAAGTCCCAGAAAAAACACAATACAGAAGTAATAGAAGTAAATTAAGCATTTAGTGCTAAGTGAGCATGGTGTAGCTGGAAAGTAAGCAGTGAGTTGTGAGAGGAAAAAATGAATGTGTTGCTGGCCAGATTTTTGGCAACTCTCTGAGGCAGTACTTTTGCAATAGATTAATTTAAACCTTGTTAGTGGAATAATCTCTCATGCTAATACAAATTAGCTATCTAGGAATTACTGAAGCAGCTACACTGAAAAGCACGCAACTTCCCTAGACTTGTTTTACCATTTGCTTGCAATAAGGGGCAAGGGAATAAATTATCATGTTTATAGTTTTATGGAATAAACAGGGGTCCAGAAAGAAAGAGTTTGGGTTAGATGAATTTTGCAAACTGGAAAATACAATTTTTAAACTCTTTTAAACTGTAAACAGCTGTGTAACAT